TTCTTTCTCTTCCTAGGACCTGGAACAGGGTCCTGCAGGCAGCAAATGTTCATGTGTTGAACAAACATGTGGTATTGTGTCATGCAGAGCCCTAGATTTTTCTGGTCCCAATGAAGAAGAAGAGAACTGAAATTTGGCAGGAAGATCCCAATGAACTGACACATGCTGGTGAGGTGGCAAGGCATGTTGGCTGTCTCCTCTGAGCAGAAACTCCACTCCCAAGCGAAGAGACCAGTTAATAGAACAAAATGCCAAAAAGAAAGAGGTGGTGTGAGGTAATGGGATAGCTGGAGTGGTGAGTGGTTGCTAAGACTGGAACATAGTTTCTGGAAAGCCTCAAAAGCTTTCCTCTTTGACTTCAGAATAAAAATTAAGTTCTCGAGACAAGTTATGGTAGGAGCTGTGGGTCCTGCTTCTGTCTCCCCTTGCTGCCCCCGTACAGACCAATGGCTCCTTGTGGCTCCCTGTCTGAGGCCATTGTCTGGCCACAGCAATGTGCTTGGTTCACACAAGGAGCAAGACAGGAGTGGCAGGGAATCGGAACACGTGTTGGGAGTAGCCCTCAACCAATGATGCATGGGGACTGATGGATAAACATGACCGCCTCCTCACCCTTCAAGCGGGACGATTCTGGTCATGCCTACCGTCTCTTACAGTGGTGATCTGCTCACTACACACCTTGAGTTGGCTTCTTCCCTCTCCCATCTTACTCCCAAGCTGTGCTTCTTGAGATCGCCTCCTCAACAGGAGGTACGTTCAAATTCTTGTTGCAATGTCTGATTCTGGAGGAACCAAACCAGAGCAAGGGGAAGTCAAGGCATTTGCTATCTGACCACTTTGGGACTCTTCTCTCTCCTCCCATGAAACCTTGCGCTTACCCTCAGAAATCTACACACCCAGACTTGCAGTTCACATCATTGCACTGCTTCATTCCTCCTTTCCTTGGACACTCAGGACGATCAGCTTGGCATTCCGAGACCCCCACACCTGGCACCAACTTCCCATTGTGCCTTTCTCCTGCTCCACCCCATCTGTACAATCTCGTATTTCATCTACATGGTTCTACTACTCTCAGTTTCTCAAATGTCAATGCGTCCTTCAAAATTTCTCACCTCCTTGTTCTTACACAAATGTTCCTTATACCCCAGTGGCTTTTGAAACCCTCACTTCCATAACTACCTAACCTCCTCCAAAATGCTAAAAATAATTTTGTTTCCAACTGCTAGTAGACCTCCTTCCTCATTCTCAGAGTTATAAGTGAAGATGTAGATTTTTTGTTTTTGAGACAGAATCTTGCTCTTTCACCCTGGCTAGAGTGCAGTGGAGTCATCATAGCTCACTGCAACCTCCATTTCCTGGGCTCAAGCAATCCTCCTGCCTCAGCCTCCCAAGTAGCTGGAACTACAGGTGCCCACCACCACGTCTGGCTAATTTTTTTCTATTTTTAGTAGAGATGGGGTCTCGCTTTTGCTTGGGCTGGTCTTGAACTCCTGAGCTCAAGCAATCCTCCCACCTTGGCCTCCCAGGAAGATGTGGATTTCACGTTGTTTTTTTTTTTTTTTTCTTTTTGTTCTGTTTCTTTCTGTATTGGTACATATTAAATAGGTTTACATATACATGTGTGTTTTTTTTTTTTAATTTTAGTTTAGATTCCAGTTTTCATTGGTGGGCTATGTTCAAATGTGACAGTGCACCAACACTGGCTAGGTGCAGCCATGGGATTTATACAGAGAACATGAGCATTAAATAAGAATATATGAGGAAATCCTCCGTCCAATGACTTTATAAGCATTTCACTGACAATGTGACTACCTTTTCTACTGTGTCAATTCAAGTTTGTACGTCTGGTATTCTAGAGACATGGGCCCTAGCTGGATTTTGTTGGCTTGCTGCTGAGAAATATGGTAACACACAGTACAGCTTCCCCAATCATGAATTCCTCTTTCACAAAACCCTCGCCCTCAGAGATTTACTTTTGTGTATCTCTTTGATAACTTTGAAGATTTTAGATCATAAGAATGGAAATTGTTGAGATGTGTGTGTGTGTGTTTTAAAATCAGCACTTCACCAAATACTTGATTAGAGAGCCAGAAGAAAAAAACATGCTTCTTGGCGTGCATGTTATTTGCTACAAAGCAAAACAAATCTACAAGCATATCCTTGAAATCAGAGTCCCTAAAGAATTTCAAGTGAGCAAGGGATGATAGCTTGAAATGCGTTGTATTTTACCCTTATTTAAGATGCGAGGCTGCACGATAGGGTGGTTAAGCGCGTGGGTTCTGGCGGCGAAGGCATGGCTTGAAATCGGTGAGAGCTGGCTCCGTCTCTTACTAGCTGTGTGACCTTAGGCAAGTGCAAAAGCTCCCTGTGCTCAGCCTTGTCACCTGTATGATAACAATGGACCTTACCTCTTAGGGCTGTGGGGAATGAATATACATCTGGTTCTTTTAGCAGTGTCTAGTAGGCGACTAATAAATGTTTGCCTTTATAATCATTGTTTTATTATTATTATTATCTATATCATCATTATCATCCTCATCACTATTATTACATGATACTTTTAATAGTTCTTTCATCTAGTGGTTTTACTTTCTAGCTTGAGAGAACCTGAATGTCTTTTTAAAGGCTTTTCTCATCTTGGTTCCTGTGTGGTCTTTGGTTTCTCACCTGGGGATACTCCTAGCAAGTTTTTAACCTTTCCTTTTCCAGTTACCTGTTCCTTGCATAGTGATCGTCAGGCTGCTTATCAAACAACGATTTATGTGGAGTGACAGAAACCAGGCGAGGGTTTGCTATGCTGAATACTTTATTTATATTTTTATGTAAACATAATTCGCTTTGTAGGCACAATATAACAAAAGCTCTAAAGCCACAAAGACATTAGACAATGTTTCAGTTCATTCCAATCAAGCTTAAATTACAGAGAAGCCTTCACAGTTCCTTTAAGGCAAACCAAGATGTTCTTTACGCTTCCTTCAGAAAAACAAAAATGAAAACAATCAAGAGACGGGAAAGAGGGTGCTTAAAATGAGAGCACATTAAACAGTTCATTTTAATATTTTATTTCCCCACCCCCCATTCTTGATGGCAGAAATTGATCTTATTGGTCAAGCTCTAGTTTTCTCATTCTGTGTTCTGAGGAGAGGAAAAGGTTTTCTTTAACCAACTGGATTCACCTTGCTAGTTAAAAAGAAAAACAAAAAAACAGATTTGGGGAGGAATGACTTTTCATGCTTCTCCTCTGGACATCATACAGGCTGTCTGGATTCTGGATGTAGTTGCGTTCCCGGTCCCCTGGGAGCCAGTGGCTCTCTGCTCCTCCAGCCCTAGAAAATGCCATTTCTGCCCAACTTACTAGAAACCACTGGAATAGTGGTTCTCCTTAGGACCTCCTTTTCAGAGTGGTTATGGGACAAACACGACCAATAATATGGCACTTGGCAAAGGTAACAGGGGAATAAACACCCCATTATCTCTCTAGATGGTCCAGAACTGGAAGATTGGGGAGTCCTGGGGCAGGAAGAGAAGGTGGTGTTGGCGTCCTCTTTTGACATACTCTGATCCCTTGGCTAGTCAGATGACAGCACCCTTTCTTGTCTCCGTATTTTACATGTACATTCACAATGAGGAGAAACTCCGTTCAGATAAATATTTGGTATAAATAAGTCATCATCACAAACTTAGGATAGGAAAAAAGAACATGAAGCATGGGGTGACATCTGTTACAAAGGGACTTTGGAAATCACACAGGTGATTGCAGAGATGCATTCTTCCCCACCGCCTGCGGGGGAAGAGTTGGGTCCACCTGAAGGCTTATTGGTGGGGAAATTGGGCAATGTAGGAATCCTCTGATGTTTTCCAGAACACAAGGAAAGTTGGAGTGCTAATGGCATGGGCTCCTTGTGTTTCCATCTTGGTTTGTGAGAGATGGAGTTAACCCTTTTGGCCAAGAGGAATGAATGAGGATATCCCTTTGAAAGACTTTGAGGCTCTTTCTCTTCCTCAGGGGTAACTGTGTTCACCTCTCAAGTCTGGTCCAATGGCATGGAGATGGGAGTGGGGTTTTTAAGAGCTGAGCAGCTGGAAAATTGAATAAGGTGTGCAAGCCAGTAGCTTGGTCCCTGGTTTCCAGAGAGCAGGGGCCCTGCAGAGTCTACACCACGGTTTTGTGTGTCAGAGGGGAGGAACTACACATTTGGCATCAGATGCTGAACATCAACCTTCTGTATCACTAGAGTTCGTTACATGTTGGAACATGCTTTGGCAAAAAGAAGGATACTCATTGATTTTTCCAAATACAGTCTGCAAGGGAACTCTTCCTTGGAGGGAGTCCACGGTAAGGGTGGCTACTTACTACCAGGAATCGAAAATAGCAAAATTGGTAATACTGATGGCAAGTGTGTGCAAACACAAGCAAGTCCCAGTCATGACTTCTGAATTAGTCCCATATGTGGTAAGTCTTCTTAAAGTTAAAATAAATATGGTTGGGGGAAGGATTCTGCTCATGAGACATGGTTTTGGAGAATCTCTGTGGCTGGTCCTCAAACTCATGCCGTTGACTCATCTTCCACCCTGGAAGAGCCATACCTGCCTCCCTGCGTTTATGGATAAGAACCAACAAAAGGGTCAAACACCAGAGGGGTAGAGGAGGGGGGCTCAAACCTTTTGACTGCAGTTGCCTCTTCAACAAAGAGAGAAAAATTACTATTTGGAGAATTTCTCAATTTATGGGCTCATGAAAACATCTCCTGGCCTACCCTCTTTCTGCCAGCCCAATTGGCAAGTGCTCTTCTGAGGCACAGGTGGCTGGCGCAAAAAGTGTCATTGGCCTGAAGAATCCTAGGACCTGGACGGTGCTCTGTGATAGCACCTTTCAATGCAAACTTGTCTCTGCCCGTGTCTGGTTCCTCAGGCATTGTGCCTTTGGGCCTGTATTAATTTTCAAGGCTGTTCTAGAACTGTTTGAGAAGGACCCACAGGTGGGTGGTTTTGATACAGGGGAGAGGGAGAGTGTAATACACAGATGGGGTCGGGACATAATACTGCATGGAATGGGATTGGCACTTAATTTCAAAAAACAACAGTGATCAACAGCTTTTTAGCTCAGCTGACAGCAGACAAACACGACACGCACTGGACTATAGCATTTGTTCACTGGGGCACAGAAGAGTTTTCTCAGCCAGGCCCTCTTCTTCCAAACCATCCTTGGCATTCTCCTGACCAGGTCCTGGATTACTGGATGAAGGGCATCCGCTCCTTGTTCTCGCTGTCTCCCTCGTGGTCCTCCTCCTCTTCCCCTGCCTCGCTTGTCTCTGTGCTGTCGTTGGCCATCTGAAATTCAGCAGAGGACACAGGCGATGGCTCTGCAACCCGCCCCCTGCCTTCTCTGAGCACCTGAGCCCCGTGATGTCTTGGGGGCTAGTGCTAGGGTTGCTTGCTTCCCCAGAAGGCCATGTGGGATTTGCTGTTCTAAGTTGGGCACCCCAAGAAGCAGACTCTGAGATAAAGATTTGAGTGCAAGTATTTGGAATTTGGGAGATGACCCCAGGAAGCACTAGGAGTGAGGAAGTGAGATAGAAAAGGCCAGGACTCTGATACTGGGGCATGTTCATTAATAGGTTCCTGCATGGGCAGCTGGACTCAGTCCTGCTGGGGACCTCTGGGAGATCGTGAAGGACACGCCTCACAGTCGCCCCTCCTGTGGGGGGGGGTGAGGCAGCCCTGGGGTGTGGCTAAGCGCTGCTCTCAGGGGAGACGGGTTATCTCCCTGGCATTCTGTGCATAACCCAGGCATGCGCTGGTGGCCAGAGCTGGCTCTTAGGCAGAAAGGGGCAGGAGCCCACAAGAGGAAGCCCACTGAGGGCATCCACTGCACAGACCGACCAGGGTCCAAGTCTTGGCGCTGTCACTTACTCAGAGTAGAAACAACAACATTAACAAACATGTTTATTTACTTTGCTGTCTATCTCCCCAACTGGAATACAGTTTCTGGGAGGACAGACACTTTGGCTCCTTTTCTTTGTTTAATCACTAGTTATGACCTCCCCTTTGAGCCTTCGTTTCCTCCACCATTACAATGGGGACAAACCCACCTGCCTTATAAAGCTGTTATAAGAATCAAGTGAAAGAAAATGAAATAACGTACATAATGCATCTGGCAAAGGGCTAAGCACGTGACGGAGGCTCAGAGGGTGCTAGTCCTATCTGTTACCACCCCTCTTTGTGAACCGTGTCTCGGATCCCTTTTCTGTTCTTAGCTCCTGGTCTAGGGGGGTTGACTTTGAGGCCCAGCTCTTCCCAACCTGAGTCCCTGCCTGCCCTCACTGCTTATTTTACCAACAGGAATTTGGCCCCCGAATCTCAGCTCACCCCATGGCGTTTTACCTGGTGCCGGACCTCCCCTCTCTCCCACTGCACATTCAGTGTCTTCTTCCTGGGATGCCACCCTGCCACCCCCTCTTCCTAGTTAATGCCTATGTTTCCATTAGAGCTCAGTCTACTTCCTCGAGGAAGCTTTTCCAGATCTTTCTAACTGGAACGATCCTCCTATCATGAGCTTTCATGGCCCAAATACCTCTTCTTTGCAGCACTGGTCAACACCGCAGTGTCCCATTCGGATGTGCGGCTTGTTGACCACGTCCATCTGCCCCCACTGAGCTGTAGACACCGTGGGGAAGGACCAGGTCTCTATGGTTTCCTTCCCTGCAACTAGGTACCTGTGCAAGTAATACTTCTAGAATGATGAATAAATAACCACGAGAACTTTCCCTTAGTGGCACATATTACAAATTCACCCTGTGCCAGGTGACTCACACACATTACCCCTTTTAGTCTTCTCAATGATGCTGTAAAATAGTAGCCACGGTAGTAATTATTGCTGTTAGTTCTGTTCCACAGCAGTGGAAAGGGAGACTCTGAGGTGATGTAACCACAGAAGCTGTAGGGACAGCAGGGTCAGTAGCCTGTAGAAGAGGCCACCCTCATTCTCTGGGGCACTGGTCAGATGGCCAGGACTAGGGCAGGACTGCCCTCTGACATTGTGGGGTCTGGAGGCAGGAGGTCTGTCTCTGCTGTGACCCCATGACATATCCTAGGACAAGCCCCGGCTCTGCACTGGCCTGGACTCATTCAAAGGAGGCCTTGTGCAAGAGAGACTCCACTCCTGGTGACCCCAGGAAATCCACTTGGGGAGCTGTCAGCAGCAATCGACTTCCCCTGCCTGTGCTGCCCACATGCCTTGCAGCCCGGATAGCTCCTAGAGGAGCGGTGTGTGTCTTGCAGCATGTCTGGCTGGGCAGACACAGGACAGAGTGAGGCCAGCAGGAGGAGGTGCCTTTGCAGGCCCCTCTGTCCCCTCCACCGCCAACAGCTGCTGCATGGAGAGCCACATATCCTGCCAGCCTGGACCTTAAACTGTCTTCTTCTTCCTCAGGTGCTAACCCTAGAAATGACCTCATTGGATGCATCCCGGAATGTGCAATGCCCTCCACTTAGCCTGAGTACGTGCTCCCTCTCCTTCAAGTCTGGTCCTTCATCTAGATGGGCTATGGCCTCTTCCCCACCCCACTGATGCTCCTTTGGAGCATCTTAGTGTCCACTGTCTCTTCATCTCTTAAGTCCAGGAGTAAAAGCCTTCAGGAGGTTCACAAACAAGGACAGTGACATATGCCAAGGCAGGTCCTGAACTCTTCCCCTGAAAGGTGGGCTTTTCAGCACCTGCTCTGATGAGAATCCCCACCTGGTCACACAGACCCTTCCTATCAGCCCGAGGACCCGACAGCATCTCATGACTGATGGAGACAGGCAGCGCCTCAGGGGGTGTCTTCAAACTATTCTGCTTGAAAGCAACAAGCTGTCCAGGACGCCCCTGGAGCCTGTCTGCCTTCTACTGATGGTCACATGTTTATAGGCTACAATGTAGGTGCACAGGAGACCCTGGATCCCAGCCCCCTTCTCCTCCCTAACCTCCTCCCCTCATCTGCCTTCCAATAGTCCTAGAACTTAGTAAGCATCTAATAAACTATTTCCATATTGTTATCAGTCACTTAAACATTATAAAATGCCCTCTCGTTAAGTTGTCCTTCATTGAGTGAAATAGCTGTCATACCTAAACTACATTATAGTTACAAAAGCCACAGAAATAGTTTTAAAAATTCACACTTTGGACTAAAATATATAAGAAATTTTAGTTCTTTCTCTTTTATGAAGGACCGATGCAACTCCAAGACTCAACGTGTGTGTAAACAAACAAAAAACCCTTCCCAAGTATTTTCTTTGTTAAACATTACCTGGAACTTAGCATGTACCAGACAATGCTTTGCGAAGGTTGTTCTAGCTGACTTGTGAGAACCTATTAATCTCCAATTTACAGACAGGGGCACCAAAGCTGGAGTGGCCAAGTGACTTGCCCAGGTCACAAATGGGGGCTGTGAGCTGGGCTTTGAATCCAGGTGACCTGACAGTCTGTGCATTGACCATTACGCTCCATAGCCCCTCCTCAAGCAGCCCTTGCGAGAGCAGATGGGCTGTGAGTTTGCTAGACTCCTGGTGGTATCCCCTGGACGTAAGGGTTTTATATTGGTAAAAGGAAACAAAATCAATGGAGTCACCAGGGAACATCTCAGAGGCAGTTCACATCATTCTCTTAGGAACGTGAATGTGAATTTATTGGAATTTACCAGGAATTTCTCCAACTTGTGGCAGCCAAGAGATGGCACCTGCAATAAACAGATTTATCGCTTCTAGCCTTTTCTGTCTGTGCCTTCGGATTGCTGTTAAAGTGCTCTCGCCAAAGCATTTGCCTTTTCTTCTTAGCATTCATCTCGGTTTGTGATTAATCCCTCATTTGTGCAGTCATTTGATCACACCTGGTCCCCTTCGCTGGCTCACAAGCTACCTGTATTTCCTTCCCCCCAACCTGTGCCTGCACCTGATAGACCCTTGGTACACCTCTTGTGTTGAATTGGACAGGTTCCTCTTCTGTCCACTCACCAGTGGAGTTGGGGTCTTTTCTACATCCAGAATTAACTTGCCGATGTTCCCTCGGTCGTGGATCCGCTGCATGGCCTCCTTCACCTGAGAGACAAGATGAGAAACAGCAACTCTGGTTAGGTGAGATGTAACCTGTGTGAGAAGAGGGCCTGGAAACGCAAACCGTCGAGCGCCCACAAGAGGGCGCTGCGGTTTGAGTTTAAACCGGCGATGCTCGTTGGGCGATGGGGCTCAGATAAACTCTGGTTGTGCCATTCACACGCTCTGATCTTGTGCAAACGTCTCCCGGGGTCTAAAAAATGAGGATGATAGCTCTTGAAATAGGTAGATGAAAATTTCTTAAAAGAAGGGTGGAGGTTCTTTCGAGTTCCAAGAGAGACATGCTGCAGGGTGGCAAGGTGTATTAGATTAAGTTTTGACCAATAAAAGTATTTTTCGAAGGTCATCTGTCCCATGCTTACTTAAGTGTTATTTTAACTCTGATTCATAGTTTGGCTAAACTGACCCATTACCAGGACTGAACTGCATCCAGGAAAATTCCCACGATTCCTGGTTGTTGGTTAGGAAACTTTGTCTCCACCTAAGTGGCGTTCCCTTGGACCAGTATTTTCCCTAGAAAAGAGGACCTATTGTTTCCTTTCAAATGTGTGTGTGTGTGTGGGAGGGGGGCTTGTTAGACCGATGGATGTTCCCTGAGACCCTCTGAAAAAGCAACAGTGTGACATAATCTGATGTATGTTTTGAGCATCACATTTTGTTGCTGTGTGGAATTCGACATATAGGGGTGCAAGAGGATGAAATGAGATGTAGAAAGGGCAACAGAGATCCCAGAACGTGGCACAGGTGTGCCCTCCACATCTTAGTGAAATCTAAAGGGAAACACAACATCTCTTGATTAAGGGGCGGAGGGAAGAGTTGCAATAGATCTAGCCTATTTTTCCTGAAGTCTCAAATTTTAAAATATTTTCCTTTATTCATTCAGTCCACAAATAATTCATTAAATGTTGCTTCTAGGTTAGTGGTATGGTTAAAAAAATTAAAAAGTAAAATACGGTGCCTGCCTTTGAGGAACTCAACCTGTGGCTGATGGAGCACTGTTGGCTTATATAAAAATCAAAGCCTTCCACTCATTTGGATAAGAACTTGACAGTGTCATTAAAATGTCTGTATTCTAAATTGCTTTTCTAGAACTTTATCCTAAAGACATAATTCAAATTACAGGGAAAAAGCTTACTACACAAAAGACACTCAATCACGGCATTGCTTTTTATGGTAAAACACTGAGGCAACTTATATGTCCCGGAGTTAAGAGGATGGTTAAGTAAATTATGGCCCTTGCATTTATCTACTGAATGGAAATGCTATGCAGTTGGTAATGAATATAAAGACATATACAGCTAATTATAAACACTACACAGCAGGAGTAAATGCTTTTGTAATATTGTTAAATGAGAAAACTGACACACACATTTTTATTTACATCTTCATAAAAACACCAATATTCTAAAAGAATTAGAAAGAAATATGGATATACAATTAAACATCACGAAGGGAAATGGGTGCCCTTTAACATTAGTATCCAAATATTGTTATTTGGTAACATGCTATCAAATCAACATTTAATATAAATTAAATGTATCTTTCAATGCAGTCTTTGGATAACCTGGCATTGGTCACAATTGACCTCTGTTTTATAGACAGATAATGCCATATGATTGTTAAATTTTATGACCCTGCTACATAATCAGTAGATTCCTTCTATTTTGGTGGTGAGCATTGCTTTTCAAATGGCTTTCACATTTGGCCGTGACAACAGTACTACTCACTGAGAATCTTTATGCAGTAGCAGCCAGCTTCTAGAGTGGCTTTCAGTGATTCCCAACCATCTGGTACTCATGCCCATGTGTAATCTCCTCCCCCTGAGTGTGGGCTGGACCTAGTGACTTGCTTCTAACCAACAGAATGCAGCAAAAGTGATGGTTAATCACTTCCAAAATTAGGTTATAAAAGACTGTGACTTCCATCTTGCGCTGTCTCTCTTTGTCTGACTCCTCTCACTTCCTCACTCTGATAACACAAGCTGTGGTGTTGTGGGCTGCCCTTTGGAGAGGCCCATGTGGCAACGAACTGAGGGCAGACTCCTGCCAACAATCAGTGAGCAACTGATACCCTTCGTCCAGAAGCCTGTGAGGAACTGAATCCTGACAACAAACACTGAGAGAGCTTAGAAAGAGATCTCCCCAGTTGAGCCTTTATATGAGACCACAGCCCCAGCTGACACCTTGATTACAGCCTTGTGACAGCCAAAGGACCCAATTAAGCCATACCCAGATTCCTCATGGCACAGAAACTGAGATCATAAATGCTATTTTAAGCCACTAAATTTTGGGGATAAATGCAGTAATAGATAGCTAATATATTCTCACCTTACACATGTAATTCTTTCCTTGCAAGAGATATATTATACCCATTTTACAGATAAATACTGTGATGTTTAAACGTATTAGCAACTTGCCTAAAGATTACATGGTTATCAGTGACAGAATTGTCATTCCTTCAGGGATGCCAGACTTCAAAACCACTGCTTTTCCCAATTCTGCCCGGACTGTGCTGTCTCATTTGATCCTCAAAGGTAGAGGAAAGTGGTAGGTAATGTTTCACATGATGTCTCCCCAGAACCCAGTTGTTTATCACCCTGGCAGGTCATTAAGCATCTGAAAGCTCCTTGGAGATTAGGAATAATTTTTTAGCTGATTTTTCAATAAGACAGATCCCAGGGAAACTGAAAAGTTGTTTTCTCACCAGTTAAAGCTTATCGTGATGCTAGGAAAAAGCCCCCTGCAGGGCTGCTGCTGATCTGCGTACTTTCCCGACATTTCTTTCTGAAATGAACTGACTCCTTGAAGTCTCCCTATGTGCAGGCTGGATAAAGGATTAGGAGCATTTCCAATAGACCATTTAAGTAGCCTGACCCCCAGTCATGCCGCTGGAATCTCTCTCCTCTTCTTTGGCTGCTCTTGGAAATGGGAAAGAGCCCTTTCGATGATAACTTCAAAGGAAAGAAACTACCATTTTTTGATCAATTATTTTTCAATCCACAATGGGGGGCATTTGACATATGTTGCTTCATTTTATCCAGACACCAAACCTCTCAGCTGAGCATTTGCACCAGTTTCACAGATGAAAAGCCCAGTGATGAAATATCCAAGGGGTAATTACCTCTGGCTGTCACCTGAAAGACGGTGGGAACCACGTGGGAATTGAGAGGACCCCTTCCCCTTTTCAGGACGCTGGACAAGACCCAGGACAGGACTCTGCTCTCTACACCCCAAGGCTGCCCTCTAATAACACCATGGCAGTGTAAAGCTTGCAAAAAGAAGCATTGCTCCCAAGTTACCTGTTTGTAAGTGGAGGTGCTCTGGGGGGGGTGACAGCACCCAGAAGATGGTGGTGACAGGCTCCAGAAAGCTCAGAAGCACATGGGAGATGTTTCCCTTGTGGCTGCCAGAGATTTTTTTTTTAAAGCACTCTTCTGCTGAAAACCTTTTCCCATTGTATTCGAGATAAAAGTCTAGCAGACCTGCATTGCCTAATCCCACAGTCACTAGTCGGTGTGGTCACCGAGCACTTGAAATGTGGCTAGTACAAATTGCCATGTGCTGTCATGTAAAATACACACCAGACTTCAAAGACTTAACCATAAAAAAGAATGCAAAATATCTCAGTAAGCATTGTTGACATTTATTACATGTCGAAAGAACATTTTAAATACATGGAGCTAAATAAAACATTACTAAAATTAATTTCCTGTGCTTTTTTGAACGTGGCTACTAGCAGATTTAAACCTCTGCATGTGGCTCGCATCCTAATTCTGTTGGACAGCACTGGGCTAGCCGTTTCAGGAGCTGATGTCTGTGGCCTTTTCTGGCTTCTTTTCTTTCCTTCACCTCTTTTCTCCCCTCGTTCCCGACACTCAGGATGGATCTGAAGCTCACGGGGCTCTCAGGATGTCCTGGTCCCCTTCCTGGAGTGCCCTGGTCCCGAGCTGACTTGGATTTGTCTTGCGGCTGTTGACTTAGATATGACTCTTGCAGGCATTTGCTCTGTGCCTGCCACCTGTGACCCTCACGGTCTGGCCCAAGCACCTCTCCTCCGGGCACCCTCAGCACCGCAGTCCGGCCAGTGACGTCAACCCTACCGCAGGCTTCTAAGTTACACATCAGCCTCTTCTCTGCGTTGCTAGTCCATAAACCAGCGCCGTCTAGCAGAAATACAAAGCGAACCATGAATGTGGCTAAAGTTTTTCTAATCAGCCACATTAAGAAATGTAAAAAGAAACTGATGAAATTAATTTTGATGATATATTTTATTTAACCAAATATTTCCAAAAATATTATTTCAATGTATACTCAATATAATGAAATATTAAGGAGATATTTTACATTCCTTTTTTTTTTAGACTAAATTTTTGGAATCCAGGGTGTGTTTTACACTGACAGCATGTCTCACGGCAGATGAGCCATACTGCACGTGGCCCGTGGCCACCATATTGGGGACTGTAGCTCTACGAGGGCAGGACGATGGTGTCTGTTTCAGAGTCCCCGGTGCAAAAACAGTCCGGTACGTGACAGCCTCCTGAGTGAATGAATGAGTGAGTGAGCAAATGAATGAGCAAATGGATATGCGGAGCAAGTGAGACACCAGGTGGCTGAGCCTCACCCAGAGGTTTTTGACCTGTTCACTCCACCTCCCGGGGCCTCTGGCCTGGGCAGCTGTCTCTGGGCAGCCTGCTCAGTGTGCCCTGGGTGGCCCAGTGGAGTTGGTTTGTAATCAGGGCCGTGGTCCACCACTCCCAGTCTGAGACAGCACTGCCAGCTGCGTGGCTGGCCAGTTCTGGCCTCGGCAGCCGGGTGTTCCAGGGCTGGGATGCTGGCCGTACTCAGGCCATCTCCGAAGGAGCTGGTTTCCCATCCAGACAGTGGAGAAAGGAAATCTGAGTCATGTCATTCGAACACCCAAGATGCCAAGATCCTGAGCACAGGGGCCAGCTGGACCTTTTCGGACACTCCTGGTTTCTGACAGGA